TGACGATTATTTGGTTTAATGTGTGATCAATAAATCGGTCCAAAGAAAGGTTTATTGATTGACACATTGTTTTATCGTCAATGTTTGATCACTACGCCAAGAGTACCGCTTACAAGTCAATATCTCTGTCCAAAGACTAGATATTGATGTTGTGCTTGGTATTTGTGATGGGCCCTACCACTATTTGAGATTTTTATTATTTGCATATTAAAGATATTCATGTGAGCTATTCATAATAAATGTTCTCTAATTCAGTTTCAGGTTCTGTTAATATCTCTGCTAACATCAATTCAATTCCAATGTTAAGTGGCACAAATTTTAGGGCATGACAAGAGAATGTGATGATTGTTCTCGAAGTCATGGACCTAGACCTTGCTTTATAGGTCAATCAACCTGCTGCACTTACTGATAAGAGTACCTCTGATGACAAGAGAGAGATGGAAAAGTGGGAACGATCGAACCGCATAAGCTTAATGGTCATGAAGCGTGCTATTCCATAAGCATTCCAGGGCACTATGTCCAATAAGGTGACTACGGCTAAGGGTTTCCTTGAGGACCTTGAAAAGAGGTTTGCCAAGAATGAAAAGGCTGAAACAAGTACACTTTTGGCAAATCTTGTCTCAATGAGGTATAAAGGGAAATGAAACATTCGGGAGTACATTATGGAAATGTCTCACATTGCTTCTCAACAAAAGGACTCATGGTCCCTTAATGAGCTCATCTCACACTATGTCCAGGAAGAGGAAAGACTAAAGTATGAGAAGACAGAAAGTGCTCATTTGGCTACCACCTCTAAGAACAAAAGGAACAATAAAAGGAAGGTTAATAAGGAAGCTGCGGGTATGGCATCGCAAAAGAAACAGCATAAGAAACCAACTGAAGGTGGTTGTTTCTTCTGTGGAGCTGCAGGTCATAAGAAGAAAAATTGCACCAATTACCACGCATGGCGTGTAAAGAAAGGTACTCTTCTTCAATTGGTTTGTTCTGAGGTTAATTTAACTTCAGTACCTAGACATACATGGTGGATAGATTCTGGTGCAACAACTCACATCAGTATGTCTATGCAGGGTTGTCTAAGTTGCCGAAAACCAAGTGATGGTGAAAGATACATCTATGCTGGCGACATCAATAAGGTGGAAGTAGAGGCAATAGGAAAATTTAGATTATTGTTAAAGACTAGATTTTATTTGGATCTTGTTGAGACATTTATTACACCGTCTTTTAGACGGAATTTGATTTCTATTTCTGTTTTGGACAAATTTGGTTATACTTGTTCATTTGGAAATGGAAAATTTAGTTTGTTTCATGATTCAAAATTGGTTGGTTCTGGTTCTTTATCATGCTACGATAATCTTTATTCAATTGATACAATTGCTTCTTTTAATGAATCCTTGCATGTAAATACTCGAGGTGTAAAGCAAAAATTAACTGGCGAGAATTCTGCCTCGTTGTGGCACAAGAGATTAGGTTACATCTCCAAAAGGAGAATTGAGAGACTTGTGTCAGACAGGATTCTCGACCTTCTTGACTTCACAGATTATGATTTGTGTGTCAACTGTATAAAGGGAAAACAAACCAATAAAAGGAGATTTCAAGCCAATAGGACTTCGGACGTCTTAGAACTTATACATACGGATATTTGTGGACCATTCCTTACGGGTTCTTGGAATGGTCAACAATATTTTATAACGTTCATAGACGATTTTTCAAGATATGGCTACTATAACTCATTCCTGAAAAATCATAGTTACTGGATGTGTTCAAAAATTATAAAGCTGAAGTTGAGAACCAACTTGGCAAAAGGATTAAAAGCGTCAGATCTAACCGTGGGGATGAATACTATGGCAGATATGACGGTTCAGGTGAACAACGTCCAGGACCATTTGCTAAATTCCTAGAGGAGTGCGGCATCGTTCCACATTACACTATGCCGGGTTCGCCCACTACGAATGGTGTTGCTGAAAGACGAAACAGAACGCTTAAGGACATGGTGAGGAGAATAACTAGTCTTTCTACCTTACCAGAATCTCTCTGGGGTGAAGCAATAAAGACCGCAGCTTATATACTCAAGAGAGTTCCAACTAAGGCCACTGATAAAACCCCATATGAGCTTTGGACGGGCAAAAAGCCTAGTTTGAAGCATATACATATTTGGGGGTGT